CTCCCCCCCCCCCCCCCCGCCGCTATCCACCGACTCGGCCTCCTCAGACAAGCTCCCCGGCAAGGGCGCCAACCCCCTCGGCCTCGACCCCCAGCGCCACTCACACTCGGATGATGACTCCGGCTGCGCCCTCGAGGAGTACACGTGGGTCCCGCAAGGCCTCAGGCCTGATCAGGTAATTCAATAAGAGCAGCATATATTTTTATTCTGTCAACTTCTTCTCAGTTACTATGAAGGATCTAGCAGGGTGTCCATAGGGCTGAAAAATTTGGTAACATTTCGGCGCCCCAGCTCGTAGAAGCTTCGTGTCTATTTGTCTATCCAAAGCTATACTTTCAATGGAGCTAGACTTTTTGCGCCGTCTCCCACCCCTTGTCCCTCAATACAACAATACGTGCACTTACATGCCGCTGTTCAAAGTGCAAAACCACGTATCTTTCTTACAGTTTTTCAAAATTTCCGCTCTTATTCAATGGTTTTGGAGGGAGGAAGCCTACTTTGTTTCATGAAATTTCAGTATATCAACTTTCGACAAAGTGTTACATTCGATGTAAATCGAACTGTGACGTTATTGAAGTTTGAAACAAAGTTTCTTGAAATTTATACAAATCTTAAACCTGACGATAAATATTTGCAATGACCGCTTTTCAAAATTGTCAATTGAAAACCTTCTGCAAGAAAGATTTTCTTCAAGCTGGCAGAGTTGAGCATACCAACCAATATGTAACGGATTTAGTTGTACATTTCGTCCATTTTCCGATAATTTTGACACCGTCTCTAATTTAATTTCAAGCGGATATTTTTTAGCACAAACCAAAATTCTCAACAATGTATGCTCTTTGCATTCCTATCATGACAATTAATCTTCTTAAAAGCATTTCAGTGCACACGTGCTTAGGAATATCGTTGACACTAAGTTCCGGAGGTACTCGTTTTAATTTCCATGCAAATCTGCTGACTCTTACATTTAGAGTTAAAAACATGTCAGAAACCAACGCATGTTGGCACTCCTCCGTGCGCAGATGTAAACATTCGCTCGTTTCCAAGTTTCCTTCGATAAAATGTTTGTTTTTCAGGCACATCCATCATGAATGTCATCCTTTAATTTTTTTGGCGTTTTACTGCACAAACTTTAATTAAGAATATTCGGAAATGTCAAGAAAAATATTTATAATCATCATCAAAAATTAAAATTAAGCAGGGAGAAATGTGGCAAGACTAAAATTCTCTTAGGGCGTTCTTCCTCAAGAGAAATGTGCGCAACAAACGCGAGAGGGGGGGGGGTGAGGTGGAAAATTATGGAGGACCAACGCAATAACACCTTAATGCATGTATACACTCACAACATCCTAAAGATCGTTCCCTCCAGGTCGCGTTAATCATAGCGCGTGTCATAAAAAAGTCCCCGCGTGATATGTACAAGAAAATCCCCGACGCACAGTAGGATGAACCTTAAGAAGAAATTAGGCAAACATTTTTTGACTAAAATGTCCATTCCGTCATGTCCGTCACTCTATAGTACCCAGTATCACAAGCGCCATGCGGCGTTTCAAAATTTGCGGCGCCATTTTATTTTTTTACGAAGAAATTTTCGGTCGAATCTGCTTGGAAACACTGAATTCAGCACGAATAAAATTCAGTGAAATTTTCGGACAGCTTTGTTAAACGATTCCTCTGTCAACAAAATAAAATGGCGGCGGAAATTTTGAATCGTCGCATGGAGCTTGTGATACTTTGGCCGGAAGATGACGATGTTTTCAACTGTAGGAAATGCCTCATGAGGAAAACTTTAAGAAAAAAATGAACTAAAACCACCTTTAAACTTCGACGTTTCGTATTAGTGAAGGTGTAATATTAAGCTTTTATAATTTCCGTACCATGTCCGACCTTTTCCATTAATTCGGTCCTTTGTGCGCCGTTTCAGCGGCGTTTATCTCGCGTTTTATGCCGCCAGTTTCGGCAATAGTTTCATTAGAGTGGCACCGTAGGGCGGCTCGAGGNGGGGGGGGGGGGGGTCATGCCGGCGTTCTTCGTATACGCTCCAATAAAATTTAACGGTCATTGTTAGGAATCTAATGAACCTTAAGTGTGCCTATTAAGCCTTTATTGTGTCTCCTTTTTATCATTCAATTAATATTCGCCGCCGTGAGACGTGGCTAAGAGAACGGGGTCGTATAATTAAGAGAATAGAGCCGGGCCCGGTGCCGCTGCCTGCCGTCAAAAATGGGCGTGCTGAAAATATGGAGTGAACGGATTTGGGATCGGAATATCATGAAAAATTTGATGAGGGGCTGAGCCCCGCCAGAACTACACTGGTAAAAAAACCTCTTGGACCAATGCTGCATTGCATTGACTTAAGAGTGCAGTTTCTTGTCGCCGGATTGTTGCTTGAAACAAGAGTCTGGACTCTTGTTTCAAGCAACAATCCGGCGACAAGAAACTGCACTCTTGAACCAAGAGGTTTTTTTTTACCAGTGATAAATGCAAAATCTGCGATTTTCGTGTCGCGTCATTTGACGATATGGAGCGTTGAAGGGGTTGAACAAATTTAAAGGCCATCTGATGAGCGTCAAAAATGTGAAAGATTTGGATCGAACGCTGCTTGGAGTTTTGCAGAGCTATTAGGACTTTCGAAGGCCTGAATAATTTTTAAAATTATATTCGTTAGTGTTTCAACAAGTTTTCAAGTAAATCAATTCACAAAAACAATAATTAGAATAAAATTTTACATAATCTTTATGTTTATCCGTTTTATTTTTATGTGAACGCGGATAACTTTACCACGTTTTCGATTTGATAAGCTTAAAAGATCTATATTAACTCAGATTCTGCCCATAACAACACTTCCATAAAGTATTTATTCAAAGAACTATTATTATTATTTTTTTTTTAATATATATCTCTGCAGAACATTCCGGATTTCTGAGAGGGGTGATGTAAATGTTTACTATATTGTTAGGAGACTTTGATGGTATATCTCATCAAAAAAATAAAAATAAAATAAAAATCTGAAGCTGAAAATTCCATGAAAATTTCGACACAGTACAATCATCAAAGTCGACATGATACCCGGTGAATCAGGGCTCCATCGTCAGTGTTGGCCGGAAAATTTTTAAAACACCGAAAAGAGCCTTCGCATCTCTGCCAAGCAGTGAATGAAATCTACTTTCTGCTGTAGTAGAAGTGATGAAAAACGGAAAATTTCCCCGACGAAACGCGGCATTCCGGAGTAGAGTCGGGTCGGACTTGCAACTGGCTGTGCCTCTTTGATTTTTGTCCCGAGGCCGGCCTCATTTTCTCGTTCCTTGCCTTGCAACGTTGAGAATCTCCGCTAAATTTTCAAACCTCCCACCATCAGAACAGTATGTAAAAACCGAATTTAATATTAAACTCGGCAACTTTTCTCTCCAGATGCACCAACACCGGTCGCGGCCAGAACCGCTCATTATTCCTTGCTCCATCTTTTCATAATCATAATTTCTGTCTCCGAACCCCCCTTCTCTCCCACCACCCATCATCCCCACATCTTCCAGACGTCCGAGTCTCATCAACACGCAACGCAACGATAGTTTTACTCACGAAGTTTTACTGCACTTGTTTGCCGGAATACATATTTTTACCGGCCGCATCTTGGACATGCCAGTGCCGGAGAATGATCTCAAACTGGGGGAAAACCTTTAATTCTTAAGGAACACTGGAGCTTTAGGTCCAGGTAACAAAAAATTTCGGTCGTGGGGAATTTCGGTTTCGGTTATCAATTTTTTTGTTTATCCTCGCCAAGACCCATTTTCTCTACCACTAGAAACTTCGGCCATCTTAACCGAAGTTAGGTCTCTGAAATGGGAAACTGCAAATCTTTTGATTTCCCATAAGGACCGCAGTTCAGTTCTCGTAACCGAAGTTTGTTCTTCCAAGCAGTTGCTGATAGAACTTCAAATACATGGTGGAAATAACTTCGGTTTTTTGGATCATCAGACTTTTCGATTCTGATAATCGAATTGCTGGATAATAGAAACCAAGTATCCGTCCAGGTAATGCAATTCGCCAGTAGCTTTACTAAAACTGTAATTTTCCACCCAAGACTTTAATAATCTGAACCAAAATTCGATTTCAACGATGTGGAGAACCTAAGTTCCTTTGACACACTGGAAAAAAAACCACATTGGATCTAGAGTCCAGACTCTTAAAAACATCAAAAAGAAAAAAATACTCTTGATTCAATCAGATTTAAGCTTAAATCAAGAACCAAGCCTCTTAATTTGAGCGGATTTCCTTTTGATTTAAGCTTAAATCTGATTGAATCAAGAGTATTTTTTCTTGTCAAAGTTTTCAAGAGTCTGGACTCTAGATCCAATGTGGTTTTTTTCCCAGTGCAGAAAACTTTGGTGAGCCTTAAGAATCGAAATCAGATCGCTGTAATCAATGGCGAGGCGTGGATGATCGATTATCGATATTCCCCCATTTAAAGCTATGGTAAAGAATCGATTATTAAGGTGCTCGTTGCGAACACGCAGTTTATCGATCCTTTTCCACAGGTTTAAATGGCAGATAATTCGATACACCACGAAGCACGCCGCGCCACTGGTTATAATCGAAATTCTTTCTCCTCCGCACCATCAGAGAGAACAGTTTTTGGTTTTTGGCCCCGAGTAGACTTCTTCATTCTTCTTCTTCTTCTTCATGATTACCCGCGGAAGCACTGTATGAGCACGAGACATCACACACGAGAACTCCAGGTGTGTTCAGTTGAATTGGACGTATTTCTGCCGAACGGAACTATGTGCATCATGACGTGAGCGCTGTTATACATATATTCTTATAGGTCTCAGGGCTCATGTCTTAATGCACATAGTTCCGTTTGATAGAAATACGTCCAATTGGTCTGTGAGGCAAGTGAAGAGGAGGCCGAAGGTGCGTGCAGATAATTCTGGCCATCAGGACAAGTGCATAGGGTACGGCGATGTCAAAGGCGAGGCGTGAATGATCGATTATCGATATTTCCCCGCTCGAAGCTGTGGTAAAGAATCGATTTTGAAGGTGTTCGTTGCAAACATCCTGGTCATCGATCCTTTTTCATATATTTAAATGGCAGATCAATCGATACATCGCAACGCCACTGGACGTGGTGGAGGGATCACACCCTGGAGGAGAGCGGACGAGGGGATTCACAACTTA